AAACTCACAATTGAAAATACTCCAAAATTCCAGTCGGAAGTGCTCCAAAATCAATGATCAAACACCATACTGCCTTTCTTTGTCAATCGAAAATACACCAAAATTCATGTCGGAAGAGTTCCAGTCAATTTTGAAGACTTTTTAAACTGTTCAAAAAACTGTCTTAAATTGCTAAAAATTGCTTCCTGAGACTAATACCTTTCATTTTAGAGCATATTTGGTTGGTTTTTGGAACATTGAAAAAGTCGTCAAAATTGACCAAAATGGTCAGGCTTACCCCTTACCATTTTGCCAAGATTGACTGGAAATGTCTTTAGAAGTTTAAAGAATATTTGTCTTGGGCACTGTGTCCTGACACAGTTGGCCAAGACAGACACAGTTGCTTAAGACAAATTCCTCTTGTTTAGGAAAAAATGATAAAATTTTCAAAATAGTAAGGTTTACCCCTTACCATTTTGGTCAATTTTGACGACTTTTTGAACTGTTCAAAAACTGTTTTAAATGAAATAAAAAACTTTCTTCTTTCACCACCAGCAGCGGTGGCCGAGTGGGTTAGGAGAGTGGTTGTCCTTAGGCGCTGGTTCAAGCTCTTGCAGTGTCAAATTCTTATATTTAATTTCAAAGTCTCCAAAGAAAGGATTAAATGGAATAAAAAACTTTTGTCTTTCACCACCAGTATAAGGCCAACTGGGTTAGGACAGTGGTCAGTCCATAGGCGGTGGTTCAAGCTCTTGCAATGTCAAAAAAATAAGTTGCCCATTTTTATTAAAATTTTAAAGTCTTGATAAGGTGATAAAAACTCTAAGTCTTTCACCACTAGCACAATCCGTTAGAGTTTTTATTACTAACTAGAATTCCGGAATCTTTAAAACACGGAATGAGAATCTCGGAGATCTTTAAAACACGGAATGCGAATCTCCGGAATCTTTAAAACACGGAATGAGAATCTCGGAGATCTTTAAAACACGGAAAGCGAATCTCCGGAATCTTTAAAACACGGAATGAGAATCTCGGAGATCTTTAAAACACGGAAAGCGAATCTCCGGAATCTTTAAAACACGGAATGAGAATCTCCGGAATTTTTAAAACCCGGAACGAGTTTCCGACAATGCGTCACTCGTAATAATTCGGAATTGGTCGTACATACTCGTGTCACTGGACCAGACAGAAAGAATAAGCCCATGTTACGGGTCACGGAATATATAATTAGAATCGCGGAAATATATAACACAGTGTTTCCAGTTTTCTGTGTTTCCATGTTTCTATGTTTCTTATTTCTATGGTTCTAGTTTCTATGTTTCCAGGTTTCTACGTTTCTGTGTTTCTATGTTTCTGTGTTTCTGTGTTTCTGTGTTTCTGTGTTTCTGTGTTTCTGTGTTTCTGTGTTTCTGTGTTTCTGTGTTTCTGTGTTTCTGTGTTTCTGTGTTTCTGTGTTTCTGTGTTTCTGTGTTTCTGTGTTTCTGTGTTTCTACGTTTCTACGTTTCTGTGTTTCTACGTTTCTACGTTTCTACGTTTCTGTGTTTCCATGTTTCTGTGTTTCTGTGTTTCTGTGTTTCTACATTTCTACGTTTCTGTGTTTCTATGTTTCTATGTTTCTATGTTTCTATGTTTCTATGTTTCTATGTTTCTATGTTTCTATGTTTCTATGTTTCTATGTTTCTATGTTTCTATGTTTCTATGTTTCTGTGTTTCTATGTTTCTATGTTTCTATGTTTCTATGTTTCTATGTTTCTGTGTTTCTACATTTCTATGTTTCTACGTTTCTGTGTTTCTGTGTTTCTGTGTTTCTGTGTTTCTGTGTTTCTGTGTTTCTGTGTTTCTACGTTTCTACGCTTCTGTGTTTCTGTGTTTCCATGTTTCTGTGTTTCTACATTTCTACGTTTCTACGTTTCTACGTTTCTGTGTTTCTACGTTTCTGTGTTTCTGTGTTTCTATGTTTCTCTGTTTCTATGTTTCTATGTTTCTGTGTTTCTACATTTCTACGTTTCTGTGTTTCTACATTTCTATGTTTCTACGTTTCTGTGTTTCTATGTTTCTATGTTTCCATGTTTCTGTGTTTCTGTGTTTCTTTGTTTCTATGTTTCTACGTTTCTACGTTTCTGTGTTTCTGTGTTTCTACATTTCTATGTTTCTATGTTTCTGTGTTTCTGTGTTTCTATGTTTCTATGTTTCTATATTTCTGTGTTTCTGTGTTTCTGTGTTTCTGTGTTTCTGTGTTTCTGTGTTTCTGTGTTTCTGTGTTTCTGTGTTTCTGTGTTTCTGTGTTTCTGTGTTTCTGTGTTTCTGTGTTTCTGTGTTTCTGTGTTTCTGTTTTTCTATGTTTCTACGTTTCTGTGTTTCTGTGTTTCTATGTTTCTGTGTTTCTACATTTCTACGTTTCTGTGTTTCTACATTTCTATGTTTCTACGTTTCTGTGTTTCTATGTTTCTATGTTTCCATGTTTCTATGTTTCTGTGTTTCTTTGTTTCTATGTTTCTACGTTTCTACGTTTCTGTGTTTCTGTGTTTCTACATTTCTATGTTTCTATGTTTCTGTGTTTCTGTGTTTCTATGTTTCTATGTTTCTATATTTCTGTGTTTCTTCTGTGTTTCTGTGTTTCTGTGTTTCTGTGTTTCTGTGTTTCTGTGTTTCTGTTTTTCTATGTTTCTACGTTTCTGTGTTTCTGTGTTTCCATGTTTCTGTGTTTCTATGTTTCTCTGTTTCTATGTTTCTATGTTTCTGTGTTTCTACATTTCTACGTTTCTGTGTTTCTACATTTCTATGTTTCTACGTTTCTGTGTTTCTATGTTTCTATGTTTCCATGTTTCTATGTTTCTGTGTTTCTGTGTTTCTTTGTTTCTATGTTTCTACGTTTCTGTGTTTCTGTGTTTCTACATTTCTATGTTTCTATGTTTCTGTGTTTCTGTGTTTCTATGTTTCTATGTTTCTATGTTTCTATATTTCTGTGTTTCTGTGTTTCTGTGTTTCTGTGTTTCTGTGTTTCTGTGTTTCTGTGTTTCTGTGTTTCTGTGTTTCTATGTTTCTACGTTTCTGTGTTTCTGTGTTTCCATGTTTCTGTGTTTCTGTGTTTCTACATTTCTACGTTTCTGTGTTTCTATGTTTCTATGTTTCTATGTTTCTATGTTTCTATGTTTCTATGTTTCTATGTTTCTATGTTTCTATGTTTCTATGTTTCTATGTTTCTATGTTTCTATGTTTCTATTTTCTATGTTTCTATGTTTCTATGTTTCTATGTTTCTGTTTCTATGTTTCTATGTTTCTATGTTTCTATGTTTCTGTGTTTCTACATTTCTATGTTTCTACGTTTCTGTGTTTCTGTGTTTCTGTGTTTCTACGTTTCTACGTTTATGTGTTTCTGTGTTTCCATGTTTCTGTGTTTCTACATTTCTACGTTTCTACGTTTCTACGTTTCTGTGTTTCTACGTTTCTGTGTTTCTCTGTTTCTATGTTTCTATGTTTCTGTGTTTCTACATTTCTACGTTTCTGTGTTTCTACATTTCTATGTTTCTGTGTTTCCATGTTTCTGTGTTTCTACATTTCTACGTTTCTGTGTTTCTATGTTTCTATGTTTCTATGTTTCTATGTTTTATGTTTCTATGTTTCTATGTTTCTATGTTTCTATGTTTCTATGTTTCTATGTTTCTATGTTTCTGTGTTTCTACATTTCTACGTTTCTACGTTTCTGTGTTTCTACATTTCTATGTTTCTGCATGTTTCTGTGTTTCTGCGTTTCTATGTTTCTATGTTTCTGTGTTTCTGTGTTTCTATGTTTCTATGTTTCTGTGTTTCTATGTTTCTGTGTTTCCATGTTTCCATGTTTCTGTGTTTCTATGTTTCTATGTTTCTGTGTTTCGGTGTTTCTGTGTTCGTTTTCACTTATTCTTTTCTTGAAACATTTTATTCTTCAAAACCGTTACGGCTACTTTAGTCTGATTTAGATGATCATCGATCTGCCAGATAAGTTTATATTTAATAAATGTTTTTTACATTTGATTTTTCCCTGATAAAGGCATAATTACATAAACACTCTGCCCATTATAGGTAATTGTCTAATAATACAGCCGTAACAATTAATTAACAATCTTAACAATGAGTTATAATAAAAAAAGTAAAATGTCATTTGGCATTTTTTCGTCTTTTGCGTTTGCTTGGCCTGTCATTCTTCGACAAGGCGTCTGTTAATTTTTTCATCTCTCGTTTTGATCGGTCCGATTTACCTAAAATATATGATATTTTTAGTTTAGAAAAAGAAGATTTATAACGATTGGTATATAAATATTAGATTTCCGATCGGTTACCCCTGTCATTTTCACTCATATCTATCGTCGTTTCAGTTTCTTCATTTTCGTCTTCATTGGATCCAGTTGACATTTGTGTTTGTCTGCACACTACAGTAAATAATCGAAGCAGGAAAACTTTTAAGTAAAATACGAATAATATCTTTTGAAGCATCCGACATTGCATTGATGACACACAGACACGTATTTTCAAAATGAAATACATCCCCAACACACACGTCAGAAAATGGCACTCAACAAAGCGTGAAAACATTCATGCATTTAGTATATATAGAACTATAGTTTTATTATACGGTTTTATGATACAAATACTAGATTTCCAATCGGTTACCTGTGTCATGCTCACTCATATCTATCGTCGTTTCTGTTTCTTTATTTTCGTCTTCAATGGATCCAATTGACATTTGAGTTTGTCTGCCCACTACAGTAAATAATCGAAGCAGGAAAACTTTAAAATAAAATACGAATAATATCTCTTGAAGCATCCGACATTGCATTGATGACACGACAGACACGTATTATCAAAATGAAATACACCCCCAACACACACGTCAGGAAATGGCACTCAACAAAGCGTGAAAACATTCATGCATTTAGTATATATAGAACTATTGTTTTATTATACAGTTTTATGATACAAATACTAGATTTTTGATCGGTTACCTGTGTCATGCTCACTCATATCTATCGTCTTTCTGTTTCTTTATTTTCGTCTTCAATGGATCCAATAGACATTTGAGTTTGTCTGCCCACTACAGTAAATAATCGAAGCAGGAAAACTTTTAAATAAAATACGAAAAATATCTCTTTCAAAATGAAATACACCCCCAACACACACGTCAGAAAATGGCACTCAACAAAGCGTGAAAACATTCATGCATTTAGTATATATAGAACTATGTTTTATTATACGGTTTTATGATACAAATACTAGATTTTTGATCGGTTACCTGTGTCATGCTCACTCATGTCAGTTGCAGTTCCTTCATTTTCATCTTCATCAGACAAACCTTTAATAAATATACATGACAACGATTTAAGGTCATTGTTCCCTTTCATATTTTGCAGCAATTTAAAAATTTTTGTCAAAATAGATTTTGTACAGGGAATAATTGCAGTATGGGATTTATGTTGCTTACATTCCTCCGCTTTCTTGTCACCGGAACCAATTTCTTGTGGCAATGTGTCAAGCTTCAGACCTTTGAGAACTGTAACAAATCATTTAGAATGTTCTAATTTGTTTGTTTCCACACGAATGGCAACGAGCATGCGAATACATTGTGAAAACAATAGATATTGGGATATCTTGAGTGCATGAAACACTGAGTTTCTTGTGTTTTTAAACGTACTTTAAAATACCAACTTGAATTAGAAATCAATTTGAACATATAATATATATGTGTTATATATTTTTTTTAACTTATACAACTCCGTCGTAAACCAACCTTGTAACACCTGGTGCTTCAGGGGTGCTGTGAACGATGCCAATGGAATTGACAAACAACCAGCCTTTTGTTTTTTTCCGTCCTGATTTAAGAAATAAGATGTGTCTCGATCCTGCCCTCCTTCTTTCACGACTGCTTTTTTTAGTTCGCTTTTGTCTACTATGATTGGCTGACCACCATCGTCCGGAATGCTTTCTATCCGTATAGCGATACTGCTAGGCTCCTTATCACCCGCCTTTTTCTTTTCTCTGGCAAATTTACTGATCTAAAGATAAGAAAGAAGCTCATCAATCTTTTGCTGAATTTACTAAATGGTTAACATTTTTTAACAAAAGTTAATTTTCATTACTGAAATATTTGTATTAATTCGTGCAATTTTGAACTATTGATGTTTAAATGAAGTACTGTTTTGAAAATGACTGCATGAAATTATCAATTTATCATAAAAGAGTTTTATTTTTCCTATAGTCACATGTAACCGACTATTGGGCAGATACCGGATCACAATCTAAGTTCATTCTTCGAAAATTCATGTATCAGAAACATGCATCGAACGGATACTTACACATTCTTCGGAATAGTCTTTACACCTGCCCACAAACCACTGCCCGAATGCATTTATGATTTCGCTGGAAGACGATGATCCTGTATCATCCGGAATTGTTGATGATGAACGGGAGTTTTCCTTGGAAACAGGTTTTATCAACTAGAAGATAGAAAAAAAAAAAAAATATATATATATATATATATATATATATATATATATATATATATATATATATATATATATATATATATATATACATACCGTCATAAAGGCCTTTCGCTGATCTCCAAAATATTCCATGACTGCCTCTGCAATACTTAATATGTTTCGCGGAATCTCCTTTTCAATATCACATTCTTCGCCGTCTTTCTCATTGTCAATAAAATGACTGAGGACAGACAAGAGGACGTGGAGAACGCATGATATCCTAGAAAATATACGTTTCAAAATTGGGCTTAAATTGGATGGTTAATGTTAATAATGATGAGGCTTGAAATTAATATATCCATACAGGTTACGCCCTGATTGGCTTTTTTCTAATAATAATGATGCTTTTAGCTTTATTTCATCAACTGAAGATGTCCCACGAGCGCTGTTTCATCTAAATTGGTTCCGCAATTTTAAGGTGTTCCGGTAATAGAATGGTATTTTAAATATCGTATTCGAGTGTTCAATACCGCATTGCCTGCATAATAGTTATTATACCTTATAAAATTTTTTTTGTCCTTGGAAAAGTTCTCCGTACAAATGCTTTCTTCATCCCACTGGGCATTCATATTCTTGGAGAGATTATTGGCGTACTCAGTATACTTCTCTTTTGCCTCAGGTGAGTAACAATACTCGACACCGTTCTCATGCTTGTCGAATATTGTCTTATATACGCCTGAAAAAAAAATTGTTGGTTATTTCGAGTAAAGTTTACATACATACAACATACCTATATGCATAAAAACATACATACACCGGCACGGCATAAATGCATACATACATAGGCGACTCACCGGAGAACTCTTGTGTAGTGTATTCTTCCAGTTTTTCACACCATTGTTCCACTTCTTCTTCGAGTAACAAGCGAGGTTTTATTGAACATATCAAAATTCTATCAAGAAACCCATCCTTGGTTTTGGCTAGGGGTTTAAACAGCTGCAGAAATGGTTCGGGCTGAGTGAACCCACCAAGGGCCAAAGTGCTTTCTAGAAGGACCTCACGCCGCTCCCGTTTCTCGACTTTACCAGCGGAACTGCTGTTATTCGTGCACGCACTTGTTAGTGCCCATTCAGCAATGCCATCGTAAAGCCTGCAAAATAACTGTCTCTCACCTGAGCCCTCTTGTTGCTTCTTCAAAATGAATTCGTAAAACGAACTCATTTCAGAATGAGCCAATAGAGCTCTACCATCGTGAGAGACGAGGTGCTGGAAGAGTCCTTTCCGCGTGAAGTCATGGATGACCATCGAATGAGCTGGCTCCTTCAACGCGCGGATTGGACTCTCCACAGCAATCTCAAACGCTTGCGATTTTCCGGCCCCAGGTTCACTCAAACACACGGTAAACAGATTGCACGGCTCCCGATAACGGTTCCGAATCTTTAATTTAGTTTTCGGACCCATCAAAGTGGACACAACCGAAATAGCCGCAATCAATATGAATTCTGGCCGTGTGTTCACGGAAAATGCCAATGCCATCAGCCATTCAGTTATTGGCTCCGGGAAAACTTCCAGTGGGAATTTAATCGCCCGAGCCATCTTGATGGCGTTCGCGAGCTGGCATTCATTCACAGCGGGCGTGGTAATTGGAAATATCGTTCTTCTCGAAGACATCATAAAAATCTACAATAAAAATATTCGCTATTATATAGTAATCACAGTGACCGACTCCCAGAAGTCAAATCTAGTAGTTGACGAACGTTTTACAACAATTTTGTGTCCTTTGGTTATACGGAGTTAAACTTTTAATCACTATTCTAAAAGCTCGGTCATAATTCTCGCCGATGTTCAGTCTTTTAATGGTGCGGAAACTACAATAACATATAACAAAGTCTCTTTTCCAAATTTATTGTATGTCCGGAATTTTTTTTTAGGGCCCGACCGCAAATTTAAAATGGTGCATATACATTATATAGCTAGCCTAAAATTTATGTTGTTCGAGCTGCTATTTATAGGTACTAACTTTAGAACCTTACCTCTTTACAAGCGATTAGAAAAGGAGCGTAGCTTTTACAAACATACAAGTCAACCAAACTATAAAACAGAAGAATGTTGAATAAGGTTTAGAAGCTGCGAAAACTACACATTTTACTGGACATTAATGTAGAAAAGTTGCCTGACATATCCTTACCTTTCGAAGTGTACAATTGAAGGATACTGCAAATGGCGCGGGTTTTATAACAGTGAGAGCTGTCAAATTTTGTCTGCATTATTTCGAAACTGTATTATTCAATTAGCAATTATTAAAAGGTGTGTGTTCGCACGTCCTCGACTAATCCTCTTATAGATCTTTTAGATTATGGCGGATTAATTTTGTAAAATCATGAACGCCAATTCAAAAATCGTGTTATATTTCTGGGGAGCTTGAATGCGCGCATCATGCAAATTTAGTCTAGTTGCATTCGAATATCGTCTGTGGAAATTTTCCTGATCACCGTTCTCCTACATAATGATATAACGATTACTACATATTTTATAATGATTAGTGTAGTATTTTATCGAATCTAATAACTTGCAATGCTGTGTTTCTTTCGAAAACCTTCATTTGTCAAACTCCATCGCACCGTTTGTACTTAATTGTGCACTTGCATTAAAACCACGAAATACGTGTGCGCTTACTATGATATAAAACAAAATATTTACGAAGAAAATACGAAATTTATGTGATTTTATAAATAGACTCAGTTATGGCAAGGTGTACCCCCAAGGAGACACGCCTTGCCGACGATAATTACAACTCTGGTATGAGAACTTGGTGCCCTATCTAAAAGACCGACAGGTAATGGAGCGAATGCAATATAAAAAAAGGTGGTTAATGGCCAGCAGCAATTTGAAAACTAACAAGACCGAATACCCAAAACACAATCGGTCAGTGTAAGCGTGACATCGCAGAAAATAGAGCTCGTTTAAAGTTCAACCCACCTCCTCCACTAGCAATTATGCAAATTGCATGATTTGCAATAGCTGATACATAGAGGACCTCAATTGACAATTATAGAATATCTCAATTAACTATTTTACTTCAGGCGTACTTGTACAGGTGCTGGCGGTAATTCACCTCCACCCTTTTCTGAGCATGAATATTTGGAATTTTGTTGGAATGTATTCATATGAATATCATCTTGTTTGACGGAAATAAACCGGCTAGGAAACCATTACTTCCAGCCAAAATTATCCTAAAATTGTGTGAGATTTAATGTGTCAGTATTGATGCTCAGAAAACTGAGCTGCGGTGAGGGCTATGCAAAATCCATGGCTTGCAATATTTCTATACGTAAATAAATCACATTAACTAATACAAAATATTTACGAAGAAAATACGAAATTTATATAATGTGATTTTATAAATAGACTCAGTTATTGGCAAGGTGTACCCCCAAGGAGACACGCCTTGCCGACGATAATTACAACTCTGGTATGAGAACTTGGTGCCCTATCTAAAAGACCGACAGGTAATGGAGCGAATGCAATATAAAAAAAGGTGGTTAATGGCCAGCAGCAATTTGAAAACTAACAAGACCGAATACCCAAAACACAATCGGTCAGTGTAAGCGTGACATCGCAGAAAATAGAGCTCGTTTAAAGTTCAACCCACCTCCTCCTCTAGCAATTATGCAAATTGCATGATTTGCAATAGCTGATACATAGAGGACCTCAATTGACAATTATAGAATATCTCAATTAACTATTTTACTTCAGGCGTACTTGTACAGGTGCTGGCGGTAATTCACCTCCACCCTTTTCTGAGCATGAATATTTGGAATTTTGTTGGAATGTATTCATATAAATATCATCTTGTTTGACGGAAATAAACCGGCTGGGAAACCATTACTTCCAGCCAAAATTATCCTAAAATTGTGTGAGATTTAATGTGTCAGTATTGATGCTCAGAAAACTGAGCTGCGGTGAGGGCTATGCAAAATCCATGGCTTGCAATATTTCTATACGTAAATAAATCACATTAACTAATACAAAATATTTACGAAGAAAATACGAAATTTATATAATGTGATTTTATAAATAGACTCAGTTATGGCAAGGTGTACCCCCAAGGAGACACGCCTTGCCGACGATAATTACAACTCTGATATGAGAACTTGGTGCCCTATCTAAAAGACCGACAGGTAATGGAGCAAATGCAATATAAAAAAAGGTGGTCAATGGCCAGCAGCAATTTGTGTGTCGACGCCAATGGAATCTTTAATTTAACCAGATTATTCCCATTTCCGTATATGCAGCATAAATAGATGATATAAAACGATAAAAATGGTTATTCATGTATAATGAAAACACAACGATCAGGATGAAAGCGTTCTATTTTTGTTCACTTATTATCGTTCTATTGTCAATAGCGAAGCCTACGTTAACTGTGGGGTACGATATCAATGGATATGTCAAAAAATGCATCGAGTCTGCAACCAAAGCTGCTGATCTTAAATACCATACGGAGCATACTATGGAACCCCCTGATATCAGGTACGATATATTTCCAAGTTTGGATGAAACGTGGGTAAATGATCCAAAGTCGTATTGTGTCCTTCCGTACATTCTTTTTGACCCTCTGTGCCAATTTAATGCTTTACTTGAAGGAAATACAATACTTTGTCCTAAGTGTGAAACAGACGATAAAATGTGTGAAAATAATCGAAAGGGTCACCTAGTTAACACAGGAGTTTGGAAAAATGGGCGACTGCAAAGACTAAATCCGCGTATCATATTTGGCCTTACCTCTCCCGTATTACTGGTATACAAGCAGTACTCATGTGATCTAGGCCATACTGAAATAAATAGCATAGATGTGGACGTCGTAAAACAAGTGAATAACTATAATGTACCATTCACTTTAAGTCATAAGTCAGGTTTCACAAATCGACTTGTCGATTATCTGGAAGAGCTACTTGATGCAGGTCTTAGCTCTAATCAGATCTGCGAAATTATACAGCGATGTTACAAAAAAGCATTTTATGAACGAGCGCAACGTTATTACCGTGATCATAACATTGCTATAAACATTGGCCTAACAAAAGAAGTAAGTCAAAATTTCCCAACGTTCGAACAAATGGACCTACCATGCGTAGGACATACGCTAGTTGGGGGTGCAATCATTTCCAGATTTAAGTCAGAAGAAGTATTTTATCGGCATTTTTTTTCAACAATTCCTGCAAGATGGATTAGTTGCGATCACACATTTAAAGCAACTTCGAATATCGGATATTTACGCGAAAGTGATAATAAGTGGGTAAAATTATTTCAAAGCCTATTTTGCGTATTAAATGAAAAAGGCACAGTTATCCAGTGGAAATTTACTAAAACGGAAGGAACAGCTGAGCTTGAAAATTTGTTTCAACAACTTTCGAAAAGATTTCTGACACAAAATAACATTTTAGAAGGAATATTCCTCGATAACTGTTGCAAATGGACATCATTTTTAAGCAAGCATTTTCCCGGTGTACCCATTAAGCTAGACATATTCCACGCAGTGCAAAGATTAGTGCGTAAAATACCAAAGTGTTCGAAATACTCGTCTGGCATGGCTAAAGAATATGGCTTAGTTTTCCGTCAACCAGGAGACATCGGGAAAAAAAGGTCTAGGCCTTCGCCTTCGCCTGACGTTATTTCGAAAAACTTAGAAAAATTTAGCAATAAATGGGAATCTGTAAAAAATGCAGCTGGATTGAGTGTTCTTACTAAAGAAATGTTGAAGGAAATAAAAAACATTCAGGTTCACATAAATAAGGGTTGTTTGTCGGACATACCTGTTGGGTGTGGAACAAACAAAAATGAAAGGCTTCATAGGGATTTAAAGAAAATTGTTGCAACCAACCGCATAGGGCTTCCATTGTTATATACGAAAATGTTTAGAATGTTGTACAGGTTGGCCCAAGAAAACGAGAAAGAAATGTCATCTATCCAAGTGACAAAAACTCAAAAGAATGAACACATTCTGATAACTGAATATGGACAAAAATTAGAATATTTTGGAGTAGAAAGGTGTCTGGAAGAGATAGAGAGATCCGAAAACAATCAACGACCAGCACGCAAGGTTAAGGGACTTGAAAGTTATTCGCGTAAGGAAGTAGAAGAAATTTTGGATGGCATTTCCATTTTGCAAAGGAATATCAAATGTAAATGGATTGTGGCCGAACATGACTACTCGGAAAGATCTGAGAAGGAAGAGTACGACACATTGGAGTACTTAAAGCAAGGGCTATCATTTTGGAGATCATCCGAATCTATCAGGGAGATAGTTGGAAAGCGAAAAAATATCTATGCACGTACCTTGCCAACAGAGGTGCCACGTCATCTTCTCACCACGAAACAAGTACAACAAGACAGCTCTGTGGAAACCATCGAGCAAGAAATTAACTCCATCGCAAGCCAGTGGGGTCTAGAAGTCGTCAGAATTGCAGGAGATGGGAACTGCTTTTTTAATTCAGTCGCATTTCAAGTTTCGCAGTTATTGAGTAGATGTGATTTGCAGACGCATGTTAGAGAGCATTTGTATACTTTGGGGATCTCATCAGCAGTCTCTGTTCCCGCAATAAGTGATATTTTGCGAAGCCATCTTGTCGCAGAGTGGACAGGACCTTTCACTGAAGAATACCAGCAATTTG